CTTACCTGATAAACCTACAACTCTACTTGTAGTGTCACTAGTTCTATTGCTTCAGAGGGAAAATGGGGAGAGAGCTGTGCTTAACAGAAATTAGAATAACTAGAGAAACTAACAAGGCATGTACCTTTTAAATTCATTCAATGTTTCCCCAAGTGTGGGGATGTACAACTGGCAGTATAAAGATGGCATTTGGTACGTGGATGAATGATTCTTAATAATTTTATTTTACTTTAATACATATCAGAAAATATACATAACTACTAAAGCAAGACATATTATTGCCCTAAATAAATTAAGATTTTATTTAGGGCAATAGTAGCTTTTTAAAGACAGAGATGATTTAAATAAATTAAGCAAATAATAGACCCAAAAGTGGACACATATGGCAATAAGCATTAAAATGGTTCTCAAATGGCTAAAGTTTAGAAATAGTGGATTAATTTATTACTAGTAGAGTTTGATGGCTTAGCAAAAATGCTATTAAGGTCCATGAATTAGTATATCTGTTCCTTCCATGTTACCACCCCCATTTTTTTCTCCCTGTGTACTGTGTCTCCATTGACTTTAAGTGGCTTCAAGAGGTATAGACAAAGAAGAATAGTATTCTGCTGCTATGTAAAATAAGTCTACTTATCCTTACAAAGAGTACAGGAGTTATCTTCATAAGGAGATTTTATTTTGAATTAAGGATGTTTTTTTCTATTAATGAATAATATTAAAAATCAAGGGACATCAACTCTAAGGGGGAAAGTTTTGGAATAATGCACTGTGGATAGTGCCCTTGTGTGGCTTCAAAGTTTAGCTACATTCCAAGTTATGGAATCTAAAATATGGCAGACAATGACAAAGGAGACATGTGGGAAAAGGAAATGGCACAAGAAAATGTGATTGTTTGCCACTACCAAATCCTTTGATTGAGTGGAATGGGTCACCAAAATGGCAGACAGGGTGGCAAGTTCTTGGGAATAATCAGACATCCAGTTCATACAGGATATTGCTTGTGGTATGTTTGGTCCTTTATGTTCACAAATCACACAAGACATTTTCATTTTCAGTTTTATTTTTATCAAAACAAAATAATTTAACCATATAAAGAAACAATCGATAGAGTAGCAAGTTCTGAACAGTTGACTGCACGCAAGATGTTGAGTCATCCTCTATGGCTCCAAGTGACAGAGACTATTTTCCCTGGCTCCTTCTCTTCCCAGAGTGAAGCATTATGCTAGAATGTTCCTATATCTCTCCAGAATGAATTATGTATATTCCCACATAAGTACAAAGCATGGATAAAGAGAATGGTACAAACCTAGCACACAAGATTTGCTGGGTCCTGATACCTATATATAATGAGTTCTGAAATATCAGGTTAAGAAATTGTGCTTAAGTATGGAGAAACACAGTGTTTCAAAAGCCAAAGAACTCCCTCACAAGAACTATAGGAATCACAACTGAAGTGAGCAAAAATACCCACACCCTCTTTGCTACAGTGGTAGGAGAGTGATTGCCAAGGCCAGGCAGACCATGCTCGCCTCACCATATTAAATTACATCAGGAGAGGTGAGCAGCCGCACATGCCGTTGATCGTGACAGTTTTCCTAACTATAAAAATCTGCTGCACCGGGAAAATTTTGTGCAAAATGCAAATTTTTATGCTGGGCAGGGCGTGGCAGGGAGAGAATGTGATCATTCTAAGTGAGGAATGTAAAGTCAACAGGAAACTATGTGGTATGAGGCTGCAAATCCTTTGTCTCACATATCCAAGACCTGGGCTCGCCATGTATTTTATTTCTGCAAGGATGCTCCTCCCATCAGAGCATCAGAGGAGGGAGTTTACTTTGCCCTCCGATACTTACCATGCTGAGCAGGGCTTTTTGGTTGTTTTTAAATATATTTTTATTGATTTCAGAGAGGAATAAGGAGAAAAGAAAGGCAGAAACATCATTGATCAGCTGCCTCCTACATGCCCCAGCCCGCAACCTGGGCATGTGCCCCAACTGGGAATCAAACCATGAACTCCTGGTTCATAGGTTTGACATTCAACCATTGAGCCACACCAGCCAGGCTGAGCAGGGTTTTGATTCGAATCCAGAGGCACCCTCTGCCCCCATCTTTTTTTTTACCTCTTGGCAAATGAACCATAGGTTCTGCTTGATTGTGAACTAAAGGGATGTTAGCTTTATCCAGAATCTCAAAGGTTGTATCTAACAGGACAGATGAGTTGTACTACATCATGCCTTCCGACAAGGAGGATTCAGGCTGTCCATCACAACCCACATGACTATAAGAGTCCCTTAACAGTATAGGTTGTCAAGGGAGGACATAAAACCTTTTTCCTCCACACACCTCTAACAAGTGAGATCTGGCCAGGTGTAGGTTCAGTGGCAGCAATAAACCTGATGGTGAGTCTTGAGCAACTTGGGTCATGGTACTTGTATACTTTGCCCCATGAGAATTGCAAAGGATTCTAAGTGTCCCTTGCCTTAGCTCACATTGGCATGCCTGGATTTCTTCTCTGTGGAAGAAGCTGAGGAACCAGTGGTTAAGACCTTTACCTGAATGTACAATAAAATTAATAGCACTAGGGAGAGCAGGGGCCCTGATCTTTAAAGTATGGTTGGTCCTGTTCTGAAATAGATTCATTTTTCCCTTAACTAGTACAGAGCACACATTTGCAGGGTATAAAACTGTAGAATTGAGAATATTAAAATTTTATTTTCAGTAACCGAAACTAGGTTATAGATTATTCATGTTATCCTTAAAGGTGTATCCCTAGAATTGAATTCTGCTTTTTAAAAAAAAACCATAGGAAACTAAGATTTATAAAAATCAGACACTGTTGGTTGCTTTATAAAAGGACCCTTCATTAACAACAACAAAAATCTTTACCTTCGGATGATTTTCAGTAGCTAAGTCCTCTAGCGTCATTCAAAATACATTTTTAAGACATTGAAATATAGCTTCACACAAATTCATGTTGATAAAAGTAAGGTACACTTTACTTTATATCAGCCACCAGCTAAATGACCAGCTGTGATAAGGGGTTTGTCAACCTGCTCACCTTTGTAAGAGAGACACAGGGAGTTAGAGGTGAGCTCAACGTGCTGCCTTATTTAGTATAGGTTGGGATGCGGCACCCAAAAGTGGTGGCTTGTAGAGGACAGAGCTTCCGCCACCATGAGTTGCTGACTTGGGTCTGGTCAACTAGCTGACAGCTTGGCAGCCCCCAGGAGCAAAGGATCTGGAAGGTCGTTTTCTCGCCCTGACCAGGCCTCCGGAGACAAGGTAGCCAGTTCAGCCTGCAGACACGCAGCCTCCACTCACACAGTAGGCTATGGTTTTGCTTTTCATTTCTGAATGATGAACCAGTGCTGATCAACTAGATGACTGTGCCCCCAAATCTGGAACTCTGCGGGGGCGGGGGGGGGATAGATGGGGCATCTCTGAGCTCACATTCTTCATGGAAAAAAATGGCAGAAGGTGTTTTGGCTTTGGGTCCCCTCCCAAATAAATATCTTGGGTGCAAGACCCCTCCGCAGGGGGACCCCACCCAACACACCAAGACCTCCTACGTGAAGACGAGGCAGCCCATGCATCCTCACAGGATCGGAACTTGGAGACACATCAGTTCACCTTGTCCAACTCTCTCACACTCATTTGGAGAAACTTAGGCACAGGGAGGGCATGTGCCTTCACCAAGATTTCCCAGGTGGTTAAGGGCAAAGTCAGGCCTTTGTTCTTCCTCCCTTGGCACTCAGGCCACTTTTCCAGACAGCCTCGCTCATCAAGGTGAGCAGGTAGCTCAAAGGGTAGGTAATCACCACATCACTTTTGTTTGGTTCAGAAAGCACAGAAGGAAAATACCTAACCTCCTTTCCACCTCCCTCCTCACGTTTTTCTTAGATGGGCTTGACATCACTTGAGTATTTATGAGCTCATATGAGATGACCATGGACACGTGCTAAATCACCAGGGGGAGGTGGCCCCCCATTAATGTTTTCTATCAATCACCCTGAAATTGGAAAATTCACATGAAGTTCCTTGCAATGTGACCATCCTTAGTGACAGGCAAGGCCATGTTAAAGTGTACCGTAGGTGTGAGATGTGCATCACACCATCTGAAGTACGAGAGTGAGGGCATAGGAACATTCTTTCATCAAAGTTAAGCCAAAAGAGCTGAGCTATAAATTTCAGATTGTACAAAATCATGAAGTATAAAATGTTACTGAAATGCAGCAGTGTAAGTCTCTTTAAGTTTTTCCTCTCCCATTCAAGGAGGAGAGGAAGGCAGGACTTCCCAGGCTGCGCGCTGAGTCGGCTGACACAGCCCAGCTATCTTGTTCTGCACTGGGGCGCATTGGCTTGGAATATTGGGTGATTTTTTCTGTGCTGTTCTGACTTGCACAATATAGAGGCTGATTTAATTTGACAGCAAAGTAACACTAAGCCCCCAAAATAAAATTACTGAGATGTACAACAGCGTCAAAACTCCAATTAGTTTTGTATCCTTGAAGCCTCAAGAGGAAACGAAAAGGCTCCATCACGATGAGCAGGCAGCGGTGAAGCGCAGAGATCACTAAATGTAACCCTCTAATTGAAAGTGCTCAGCGCACAGTATGACACAGAGAATCAGAGGGAAATAGGTGGGTTTCCCCCCTAAATGACTCATTACAGAGACGGTTCTATTAACTTTCAATACAACGTTCCTTTGTAAAAGTTGGGAAAACCAAGAGTTTCAGAGGTCTCGACAGAAAAGGCACCAGGCACCAGACAGTACATGCTTGTGTCGCTGACTCATACATAAACATTAGCCACTGAGCGACACGGAGAAATAATCAGCATTTCACCAGATCACGCATTTTGAAGTATATTTACAACTTCCGAGGAGGAGGAGAATTATTCTGACCAAACTTCAGTTTTTTAATGAAGCTGAATTTTGTCTCCAGAATGAACAAAAGTAATTTGGTGCCCAATTCACCCCCTAGTTCACCCCCCCACCGTGCTTACCCCCAGTTGCTAATGAGTACTTCGTTGCCTTGACTCTGTGGGGTGTCCTTGTTGGTAAACGTGGCTTCCGTGGCTAGTGCAATTTTACGGAGGAGGCAGTGAGGACTGAGGCAGAGCTTACCTGGGAGTCCAGCCACAGTCGCGTGTGCCAAGCGGTCACAGCCACCTTTGCCCTTCCTGGCACCTGCGGACACCAGCGGGGTGTGCCCAGGGGGGTCTGGGAAGGGTGAGGCTGAGTCAGGGGTTTGGAGTTGGTTGGGGATGACTTGGAAAGAACCCAACATGGCTTTCCCAATCGTTTGGTGCTTCATGACAAGGGCCCGGGAGTCCGCCAGCAGACGGCATTCACGGCAGCGTGGCCAGTGTCCGACCGCAGACGCCCGCTGCCCGGGAGCGTCAGATCTCTATCACCAGCCGGTCTTCGTCGTCGCTGCTGGTGTCGCTGAACTCCACTCGCGTCTGCTTCCTCATTCCTCCCAAACTCCTCTTCTTGATGGTTTTTGAAGAGGCTTCCTGGGCACCCGCAGGCTGCCCTGGTGTTGAGGGAACCACACCATCCTTCAGAGCCATTAGTCCGGATTCTGGAGTTTCCTCAGTGTCCTTTCCTGCAGGAGGGCGGGGGGCCAGCACTTCCCCGCACTCTAAAGCACACCCCGGCGGGGGAGCTCCTTCTTCCTGCCCCCCGGGGAGGCAGCACACCTCGGGCCTCCCTTCCTCTTGCTGTGAACCAGCTGGTCCTGGCCCTGAGGTTGGCGTGTCAGGATGAGCTTTCCCAGGTGACCTCGATGGGACCGAACCTGAAAGTCTTCGCCCCGGGGAAGGCTTCCCTGGCCAGAGTGACGGAGACAGGCCCTGGGCCAGAGCTTTGCTGGCAGGGGAGCTCTGTGTCTGCGTCTCCCCTGCAGCCCGGCCTTGGCCTTGTGGCTCTGCACTGGGAGCTCCCGGGGTGGTGTGACCTCCTCCTGTCCCCAGAGAAGTACCAATGGCAGCCACAGAGGTAGCAGTGTCATGGCGGGGAGAGCTTCCTTTGGACTCAAAGGCTAAAGGCTCCTGAGCTTCTGAGAAAGCGCGTGGTTTGGGATCTGCCGAGACTGGCTCCTGGGAAGGCAGCCGCTGAGTCTCAGGCATCCCCGGGTCGAGACCTTTGCCACAGGAGGGAAGGCTGTGGTCACCCATGTGCATGCGGGAGTCGGATGGCAGGGCCAGTCCTGACCCCACTGCAGCGTTCTGAGGACAACGGTCACCACACGCGCCGGCAGAGGGAACGGTATCCTGTAATGAAGTGCAAAGGGAAGCAGATGGAGGGGAAAAGGTTAATTGGTACAAGAAACTTGTGGTCAGAAACATGGTCCTCAATGAAATAGGGGCTTGAGTCCTTAATGATTCTTTACTGAGCGTGAACTTCAATATCATGTTCTCAATCGGTTTCCATTAATAACTAATTGGGGCATTAAGTTGATACAAAATCGCCTGACGGGACTGCCCTGTGTTTTTGTCTGGCTTCGTGAAAACGCAAACCCCTCCGTGATCCCACCAGTCCCGAGCCCACTGAGCACCAACAAGGACAGGAGAGCCATAACCCCAGACACCGGACAGACAGAGACGGCCCGAAGTCAGAATTCCCACCTGCACAGTCCAGGTGTCTCTGTCCCTCACAGCCCTTGGCCTTGTGCTGGGAAAGCTGCCTCCTGGGGTTGGTCTCCAGGCCTTCTCCTCCTTCTCTCTGTCCCCACAACCAAGAGGTGATGCTGTGGCGGCACAAGATGACTCCCCTTGCAGACTTAGCCCTAAACGTGGGAGGCACATGTACATACACCTGAAATTATTAAATCAGCAAGTAGTAATTTCCTAGGTTACCTGTGCTCTCAAGACGAGCTCTGAGCTCAAAAACCTTCATCTCACACGGGAAAGCGAAGTCCCTTGAACCAATTCCCACCATCAAATAAAGTATCTCCGGTTCTGCTAAGATGAGAGGAAATGGGGCAAAACCAATTCCCAAAGGCGGGAAAATCCCTAAACCTTCCATGTGGCTCTTTTGCATCAGAGTCTTCTTCCATTTGTGAACCTCAAGATTGAGTTCTCTGACCCTAGAGCCAGCGGTGGAGAGCAGAAAATCCCTCCTTGGCACGCATGAGTCTTCGGAGCACTGGGCAGCCGGGGGAGGCTGGTCTTGTGTTGCTATTGTTCTGTGATGGCGATGGTTTGATTTGTGGGGGGGAAGGGGAGACAAAGGTGTGACCTTCACAACATCCACAAAACAGCCTCCCCTGGAATTCAGGTCCAGGCACCACAGATCTCAGGGAAGGTAGATCCCATCTTGAGTTAAGATGAGAAGAACATTCTAGAATCTCTGTGTCACAAAGAAAGCATTAGGCCCCATTTAAAAGTTGCTTTTATGTTGATGAAAGCTACAAATGCACAGACTTTAAAAAAAACCAAACCTTTCTACTTATTAAGAAAAACAGCAGCACCTGTCCACCCACTCCTCTTCGCCTACTGGATCCTGGCAGCGGTTCTCAACCTGTGGGTCGCGAACAATGAAAATACATCCTGCATGTCAGATACTTACATTATGATTCATAACAGTAGCAAAATTACAGTTATGAAGTAGCAACGAAAATAATTTTATGGTTGGGGTCACCACAACATGAGGAACTGTATTAAAGGGTCGCGGCATTAGGAAGGTTGAGAGCCACTGTGTCTCCTGTCCTCCACAAACACGCTCAGAGCACCATTTCTTGGTTTGTTTTTGGTTGTTGCTTTTATTTCCAGTTTGGAGGATAGTCTGTGACTTCTATGGGGGATCAGGATGAGCACACCTTCTCCACAACCCCCATCACCCCTCAGGTATGCACAGTCCCCACCCCCCTCTCTTCTCAGCAGTGAGATCACCGCCATGGCCATCTGGCTAGAACGTTCACAGTTTCCTCTGCTGTGCTCAGGAGTGCGCTGTCCGCGCCAGAGCCTCGGTGTGCTAGGAGGAACTGCCTTAATTACCAACACGGTTCCCTGGAGTCAGTTTTTTCTTTTGCTGAGTTTTCTATGGACTTATTACTAACATCACCCTCTAACCTCCTTCCCAATGGTCTAAGGTTTTGTTTTCTTAGAAGGATCTCTCATGAGACTTTTCTCCTTTTTTTTTTAAGCTTTTTTTAAAAAAAACTGTATTGAATGCATTGGGATAACCCTGGTTAATAAGATTATATGTTTCAAGTGCTTAATTCCCGAATGGATCATCTGTGTATTGTGTGTTCTGCACCCAAAGTCTCGTGTCCTTCCATCACCATTTGTCGCCTTTACCGTCTTCCACCTCCACCGCCTCCCTTTCCCTCTGGTCATCACCGTGCAGGTAGAAAGGGTCACGGGCGGCGTTCCCAGGTTGATACGGACGAACACCACTCATGAAACCTTCCGACCTGCTCCCTGGACTGCAGCTCCAGCTCCACGTGAGGCTGTGCCCAAGGCCTCCCTCCAGCCCCGTCCTTGGACTCCAGGCCCCAGCAGTCCTTTCGGTTTACTTTCTTGCTTCCCTAACCCAAAGCTCCTGGTAGCTGCATGAGAAAGGGTGAGTGAGAGGAAATGTTGAGACCTTCCCCGGCTGATTATCTGGGGAGAACATTCGAACGGGTACATTCCCCTTCCAAGAGGGCGCCGGGCTGGCTCCGTCCCGGACTGAGGAGTCTGCAGACGCAGGATGCAAGGTTCGGGACCCTGGGGTGAAGGCATTTGTTGTTCTCTCTCTGAGAAGTCCTGCTTCTCCTCTGGGTGTCACCTCCGTCCTGGTCTATTTTCCTTCACCGTCTGGGCACTCGGTGCAGCCTTTTGATCTGAATCACGGCCTTCAGTCTCAGAAAAATACATTGTCTTTGATTTTTCCTTTATGTTTTCTTTTCACTCTCCATGTGAAGTTATTGGCCCTCTTGGTCTCATCCTCCATTTTTCTTATCTTTTCTATTTTTTATTCTTTGTTTTCTTTCATTTTACTTTTGGGAGAACCCCTTCGATTTTCTATTCCAACTCATACTATTTCTGCTATCATGTTTTTCATTCCTAAGAGCCCACTATTAATATTAATCATTATTCCTGCTTTGTAGCATTCTGCTATTATTTCATGGCTCCAGCATCTTCTCTTACTGGCTCTGTTAATATGAATAATGGTTGGTTGGTGTTGGTGAAGTTTGTCTCTCCTTATATCCGCTCCCTTCCTTCCAAACTCTTTGTTTCTGTTGCTTTTATCTTTTTTTTTTTCATAGTAAAGACTTTCCTGAGAGATTCAGCAATCTTCACCACCGTGTTCACCAAATAGGCAGATGAGCGTTGGTTGGGCGCTCCTTCCAGTGCAATCTGTCCCTGTGGGCCTCCCTGCGCGGTGACTGGCCGCCCCGTGTAAGTGGCAAACTCTGGCATCATTCTCTTTGGGTCTCCACGGGGCCTGGTCGGCACACCAAGACTCAGCCTCCTGCCAGGAAGCGCAGCCAGGCTGCCGCACTGGAGCTGAAACTGGGACTGAGAGTCGGGGGACCGGCAGGCAGTGTCAACCCTTTGGTTGAACCCTCTGTTTTCAATGTGGTCCCCCACTCCCAGCTCAACTGACTGTGCCCGGTGACCCCAGCATTTTGGACCCTCTCCAGGACTGAGCCCCCAGCATTCTGCCGGGGAGAGAGTGACGGGTGACCGTGCTGTGGGAGGGAGGAGTGGTGGAGGTTCGGGGGGTCTGCTGGGCTGTGGATTTCGGAGTTTTGAGGTGTGCCTGGCTTGCTGTCCCTGCTGAGTCCGTGTCACTGGGGCCTGCTTCCTCTGGCACTTTGTCCTTGAAAGCGGTGCCTCACAGACACAGGTCCTTCCTGACACCCAGTTGTTAGAGGAAAGTGGAACCACATGACGGTGTTCTGTCCTCCGTCTGTACCAACAGGACCGACCTACTGCTTCCGTCTCAGGGCCTTATTGCCCGGTCCCCGGTGCGCTAATCCCCAGCAAAGCAGCTTGGAAGACCCACGAAAAGGGCATTGGTTTGGGGACAGACGCCGTGGCCTTTCCTTGAACATGGCCTTCACTGGGCTCCTGTGCACAGGGTTTCCGAAGGCACAGACCACGCCCGTGGCATGCCATCCATTTTCTCAATGCGCTTCCCCCAGTCCCTGCTGTCACACTCCATCCTGAGGAGTCGGAGAGCCAGCGCAGGGGCCCTGGCCTTTGAGCTTCTGACCTAACAGAGGAGAAACCAAGGGAGCAAACTGGAGGATGAGATCGCTTCTGGTTGATGGGGTCGTGAAGGACATAAACACCTGAGCCTCATGATGAGACGGAGGCAGGATGGAGCTGCTGAGCATGAACAGGGAGGCTATGGCAGGCGGAAGGGAGCGCCTCCGATTCCTAAATCTGTGGAAAGGTGGTGCCTCCCATGGAAATGATGGTGAGGGGGACCCCCAGGGGGGCAGACCAGGGCCTGATGGGCAGCCAGGTGGAAGGAGGGTGCTGAGTGGGGCAGGGGTTCGGGGAAGGGGGGAAGCCCAGGGACACAGATCTTGTGGGTGCGGGCAGGTGCTGGGAAGGGGGCTGTGTCTGTCACGGTGAAGAAGCCAGCATGGCAGCAGGATGCCACAACATTTAAGATGCAGGCAGCTCCTGTCTGGAGACTACATTTCCGGAAGAGGGGAGCAGAGCTGGAAAGCCACTTTCAAGGTCACCGGTATGGTGGGGTCAGATGGGAAGGCTTGGCTAGGGCAGAAGTCAAATAGGTGAATGTGGATGATGGAGGAGTTTCATTGCCACCCATGAAAAATCACCAAAAGATAATAATGATGATAAATGTTTCACTAGCCCCACAGTTTACCAAGCGCCTCCTCTCCTTCTAAGTGGATTAAGCCATGTCTCCACATTGACAAAACAACCAGACAATTCATTCAATTCAATGAAGTAAAACCAATTAGTAAGAGGAAATAATCAGATTGGTCAAATGTCTCCTCAGCAGCTCGTGCGGGTTTTTCAGTCTAACGGAAAGGCCATGTGCACATTTGACCAATAATTTCTGACTCACCTGAGAGCAAGGGGGGCAAATCCAGTGATTGAATTTGCTTCTGACCTACAGTTTACAGAGAAAAGTGAGTTATCTTTAATAATTGTGGGGGGGGGGCAAATAATGTCACCGAAGTGTGTTAAATGAATTTGGGTTCTTGGAGCAGGACGCTAACTTGCTTTGAAAGGAATGGCCCTTTTCAGGAGTAAAGTGCTCTGGTCACACGTTAAGGCATGTAGGTTTCTGCATCATGTAGGAACCTCTCCTACATGATCCTGAGAAATTTCGGATTCTTTCATCACCGTGCAGTCTTCAGAAACTCCAGCATTCACACAATTATGCAAATCTTATTAGAAAGCCCGTCTCTCCTCACAGCTCCTTTGCCTTCCTGCCCTCCCCCTGATTAAAGCTGCGTTCTTAATAATTTTCCTCAGAAATAATTGCCCAACCATGTTTAGAGAGGCAGAGACCGCTTAAAGCATCATAGCACACTTAAATTTAGCATCTTGAAAAGGCCTATAAGAAACTGTACAACAATTAGAAAGAAAACGGAGTAAAGCAACAACAAGGCAAAGCTTCCAACATGGCGTAGACATCTCTCATGGCCAATCTGCTCCCAGCTGTCCAATCCTTAGGCCTGATTAAAATGCTAATAGACACATTACTCTAACATCATTATCTGAAAACTAGAGGCCCGGTGCACAAAATTTGTGCACTTTGGGGGGGGGTCCCTCAGCCTGGCCTGCACCCTCTTGCAATCTGGGACCCCTC